TCTATTTAATGCAAGTTATTTCTCTTTAAAAACTTTACTTGTTTAGAAGTTATTACGAATCAAACAGGAGTACTTTTTTTTGGGCCACCCGGTATCAACATTCGTGGAAGTTGGAAAAACTCGAAATTGTATGAAAACACTCCGCCTTTCGGGCGTCGTGTTTCCATACAATTTCTCGTTTTCCCAATTCCACTCGTGTTGATATAACTGTATATCAACACGGAAAATGTTTTATATTTGTTAAATATTTTAATAAATGACTTTAATGAACTGCAATCCTGGACAAAACATCTGAGACACTTCCAATACTTGACAAAATGTCGTAATAATGTCGTAAATTTAGAAAACCTCCCCCTTTCCCCCACCATTCAATGTTGATTGCATTCGTAAAATACGGATAAAACGTCCAACATTGTTTGGAGGGGGGTGGGGGGTGGTGGAGGGGGTGCAATCGAGTAAATTATTCCGGTCTAACTGTTTGAAAAAAGCCAGAAAGGAATGTTTTAATAAAGTGTCGCAGATGGTTTTGTCCAGGATTATGGAATGTACGTATTCATGTAAAAAATGCTTTTGTCATTTTAGTTGAACGGAGCTGCGCCGATTGGGTAACCAACAATGTACCTGAAATATTATAACTTCTACATAATCATTCCGCGCATAGTTTTGGTAATTACACAAGGCCAAGCAAATGAAAGTTTTAATTTTTGTTTTAATTCAACTCTTGAAGGTACGTGACCTGATTACCATGCAAACGACATAAACGACAAAAACGTCGACAGCTTCTCGTTGAATACCATACATATACATACGTCAACTTACCTATGCATGCACTCTATACTGATATCGATTTGGTTATGTTCGCCAGGTTTCAGACTTAATACAACAGTTTTGGTAACAAAAGGTGTTTCCGAAAGGATAGAATGCATCATGGAATGTGTCAAGGAGCCATGTTGTAGGTCAATCAATTACAACAAGACTTTTCATAATAAACCAAATTGTGAAATGCTACATGACGTGATCTACAATACATCCGAGAAAGCATTGGGGAGAAACTCTTCCTATGATTATGTTTATCTGGTTAACCCACAAAAGGTATGAATTGTCTGTAGAGGAGAAGTCCTCGTGGGTGGATTACGCAAAGTCTAGTCTTTTCTTTCCCCTTGTACTTTTAATCAGGAAATATGAAAAGATAAAACAGGCGTGTATCCCATAGTGCTAGCCTACAGTAGTGCAGGTCTGGAATTCTTTTGGTAAAACGTAAGAGAACCACAAGTATACATTCATAAAATGTACAGACAGTTGTCAATCTTGCTGGGAACTTCAAATTTTCTATATTTTAATTTTATACTTTCTATACATATTCTTATTTTTTTAAAAAGAAATTGAATCATTTGAAGATAAAGGACAGGACATAAATCCATAGTTCAGTTACTAGAATATCAAACCACTCTTCTAAATTCTTTTTTTCTTCCAATATTTTGCTTATATTTTAGAGAAAAGGGACTTTGATTTGA